AGTATTTATGAAATTGGTGTTCACATAGATGAGTCATCATCCCTCAAACATTCTGCCTTTTTTCTGGAACTTCACATCTGGGGGCAAGGTCCCCATGCCTGAGGGTAATACAGCATCTGTTGCTTGAGCTCACCTCACACTGGTAATCAAAGCCTTCCCTTTTTAATTGTTGTTCCAGAAGTCCCTCTCCTCCTCTGCCATCTGTTCCCCACCCACAGCCTTCTGTCCTTCACACTTTTCACACCCACCACTTAGCTCCTATATGCCAGCTTTGCCAGAGATACCATTTCCTTCTGCCTCCTTGTGCCTGGCTTTCATACCCCTTTCAATTTTCCGTCCTTTTCTAGTGACTCATCTCATTATCCTTCTAAGAAGTCTAAGAAAGTAATTCTGTACTATTGAAAAACCTTTTTATAAAACTAACTTGCCGCTTTAGCCTGTTTCAAACTAATTCTATCTGTACTGTGGCCAGATTTCAATCTGTTCTCTACTCTCACCGTCCACTTACTCCACACCTTAAATTTAACCTGTCTCCCAGAAACTCAACTATATCTGTTTTTAGGTAAAGACCACCCAGATACCATCTTCACCAACCAAATAGGCAAACATTTGTAAATATGACAGCATGGACTTTGTCAAGGCTGTGGACCAAGCATTAGCCCCCTGTTGCCGGTATGGGCAGAAACCCCACAAAGGCAGTATTGGACAGACTTGAAAAGCCATTGCTTCAGGACCTGCTAATTCTGCTTCTAGGGGTTTACTTACATGTCTGCACATTCTTTAAATGATACATATACATACAAAGTTGTACACTTAGTAGTTTATGATCACAAAAGATTGAGAATAATCTAAATGTCTTCCATCATGGGGTTGGCTAAATAAATTCTTGCCATATACACAGTGAAATGCTGTGCATCTTCTGGTGGTTAATTTGTTATTGTCAACTTGGCTAAGCTACACTGCCCAGTTGTTTTGTGAAACACTAGATGTTTCTGAGAAGGTATCCTGTGGTCATGATTAGTATGTACAGTCAGTTGACTTTAAGTAAAAGTGATTACCTTCCATAATAGGGTGGGGGCTTGGATAGTAAACTAAAGGCCTTAAGAGCAAAAGCTGAGTTTTGTAACAGGAGGAATTCTTAATCGCTGTAATACAGAAATTTTGCCTGAGTTTCTACCTTACTGTTCTGCTCTAGAAATTTTGGATTCAGGACTATAAAATCAACTCATTTGAATTTCTAACCTCCTGGCTTGCCCTGCAGATTTCAATCTTGCCAGACCCTCACAATCATGTGAGCCAGTTGTATAAAATGAAAGTAAATCTTTATCTCTGACTCTGCCCCAGAAATTCTGATATGCAGTTATGAAAAAGATTGAGTATGACTATACCCTGTAGGAAAGGTGTCCAGGATATATTTTTGAGTGAAAAAAACCAGGTTTGTAACTGTGTGTAAAAAAAGAAATTGAAACAAGAATCCTGTTTATATTTGTTTATATTTCTAAGAAACTCTGGGAGGAGGTACAAAATAATGTGTGTGGTTACTTGGTGCCCTCCTGACTCTACCTCCCAACAGCATATTTAGCACATCCAGTGTGGCGCCCCTAACATCCTGTCATCACCCAAATCTTGGAGAAGGGGTCTCTAGAGCTAAACTCCCAAAAGGGCCTCTTCTTCACACTGCAGACTGGCATCTCCAGCAGCCTACTTGATGCCTGTCCTTGGAGACCTAACAGGTATCTACAACACTTTCCCTGACATCTAAAGCTAAACATACAATGAAGATGCTGTTGAAGATGTGGAGTAAATGGAAACTCCAGCACGGCTGGCAGCAATGTAAAATAGAGCAGCTCTTCGGCAAACCTTTGGCAATGTGTATTAAAGTGGAGCGTGTGTCGCCGTGACACAGGATCACTGCTGAGTGTATGTCCAACGGAAACGGATGCACATGTACACGAAGGACAGGCACAGGAATGTCCTCACATATTCGTAATCACTTCAAATTGGACATGACCTAAAAGCCTGTGTGAAGTGCAGTGGGTAACCAGTGCTGCATTCACACAATGATTGTTACTCCGCACAAAAACAAACAAACCACACTGACGTACAATGACATAATGATTCTTACAGAAAAGACTCAACACGGGCACACTGGATGATCAAAGGTGAAAAGGCCAGAGTAACCCACAACGGTGACCTTTGAGAAACAGTCAGCTGATGGGAACACACTGAGGGTCACTGGGTTGCTGCAGGGCTTCCCTCTTCACCTGGGTGGTGGTTTTACAGGTATTTCCAACTCGAACATTTCTTTTTTTTTTAGTAAATTAAAAAGCTCTACAGCTGAATCATGACTCTCACCCACTGCAAATCTACTCCTTCCTGGTGTCCTCCAGCTCAGTGCATGGCAGATCCTTTCTTCAAACTGCTCCACTGAGGTCCTTAGATCCTCCCAGTTTTTCTCACCTCTGTATCCAAAGCAACAGCAAACTTTGTCTCTGTGTTGGGTATGTAGCCAAAAATCCAACTACTTCCTGGCACCTGTCCCTAATTTCTTTGTCTAGTTCACCATTAGCTCGCACTGGATGCCAGGAGCATGCCAACTACATCCCCAGCTTGCACACTGGGGCCCCGATTATATATTCCCCGTGCTGCAGCAAGTGGCCCTTTGAAGACATATCAGTTATTCCCGGCCTAGGACATCTCATCTAAGATGCTAGATCCCTGCCACTTCCAAGAAGACCCTGTAGAACAGCCCCAGCTGCCTGCCTTGCCTACCACGTACTATGCTCCCTGCACTCCTGAAGCCACCAGAGATGCTCCTACCGCAGGACCCCCATGACTACCCCATGATCCCTCTTCTGGAAGGTGCTCCTGCCCGTGTCTACACCATGCATCACCTTACCTTCTCCAGCTGTGCATGCCATACATTAGAAAGGCTTCTCACTTACCCTTCACTAGCTTCACTATAGTTCTCATCACTGCTTGGCATTTACACCATGTATTACAAGATGTGCTTCCTAGAGAACAGAGTTGCAGCATTGTCTATTTGTAACTCCCTACTGCTGTAATAAATTCAGGTGCCTCACAAGCACTGGCTGTGGCTGAATGTTTAGTGAAGACCTAAACGTTTAAGGATGAATGTCAGAAGTTGAGCTATCTTCCTTTCTGGCTTTCCTTGCCCAACTGCTTGGCAAAATATCTATAATCTGCAGGCAGTCAAGATTACCAATGTAAGACCTGTAGAAATATGCTGGGTGTCTATCAACTGTCTTGGACACTGGAACATTCAAAAAGACTATCCATGAAGTTATCAGAATCTTCTATCAGCAGCAGAGAATTTTTTGCCTCCTAAACAGTTGGCTGTAATTTCTGAGGTATTTTTACTGGGGTGGGGGGGTTGTCAATGATATTAACTTCTAAGCCTGAATCCCTCTATTTTTCAGATTAATTTTAACTTCTTCCAATTTCCTCCTTTAGATTTTAATTTTGCTTTACTCTTAGTATGATAAATATTAAGAACTGTTGCTATTGTATTGTTTCAGGCCTATAAATTACAGAATTAAGGAAAAAAGACTGGCTAAGAAGTTATTTGCAATCACTTCCTTTTCCACTTTTACAACACAGATGCAGGCAAGAGATGCTAAGTGTGTGGCTAAGGGCATCTCAGGTGATAAAGGACAAAAGCAAGCTCATCGGCCAGTACTCACACGTCTGAGTGGGTGCAAGTCAAGACGGCTGTGGCCTGGGAGGTGGCTTAGCAGAGATGCACTTTCCAAGCCTGTATTCTCAAAGCACAGGAAAACTAAGCAAACAGGGAGGCAGGTAAGGCTTTTTTCAAGTGTAACTAACCTATGTGATGATCACACAGTCTGGGTCCTGTGTTTGACCTGACAGGATAGATGAGGAGTGAAGAGTTAGTGGAACAAAGTGTTATCTCGCAGGGTTAATGACAAATTCCCATACAACTTCGATTTCTTCATACAAGAACAAGAAAGGCACATCTTCCATCCTGGCCTGCAGGCATCCCAGCACCTCCTCTGACAGAGGAGCACTGTTCCTCTGGATACGGACACTGCATTTCTCTGCAGCATGGAGGTGGCTCAGAGGCCCACCAAAGCCTGGCCTGTGACTTGTTACCCTCTCCTAAACCTTCATCCTTCCATGCAGTGGGGTAACCCTAATTCCTAAAGAAAGACACCTTGAGAAATTAAGAAAGACTTCGGTAATGTGTCTTTAAAGTTAAAGTCAGAAAGAAAAAGGTCCCGAGACATACATGGCCACATTACTTCCTAAATTCTATTCACTGCCTGGCACTTTCAGTTGAGGTGACAAAATTCTAAAGCAGGTCACTGAGCATTTATATAACCAAAAAGCACTTCATTTGGAAGTCTATAGTGCTCTCTCCCCCAAACTCATCTGTAGAAAAATTTTATGTAAATAGTGATGCGTTTGTGTGCTATCATCTCACAGCTCTCTACGGGTAAGGTCAGGCTGAGAAACTGTTGTTTGTGCTTCAGAGAGCCAACGTGGCAAGTAACTGGGCTGGATCTGAAGAAAACACGAGGGGCCTAATACTCAGCTAAACCTGTATTTGTTTCTAAGCGAGGCCACCAGTGTTTGTGCAGACAGTGGACACCTCTCCAGGTGTCACAGGCTCCATCACCTGCTTCTGGCATGTGGAAAACAGAATGACCCTGACCTTACACTCTGATTTAGCTTTTGTGCTCTGGTGAAGAAGCAACCAGTCCTACCTCCCAGGGCTTCTGTTTGTTTTTTGTTTTTTTGAGACAGGGTCTCACTATGTAGTTGAGACTGACCTGGAACTCACTATGTAGCCCAGGCTCTTCTTGAACTCACAGTAATCCTCCTGCCTCAACCTTCCAAGTGCTGGGATTACAGGCGTGCATCACCACGCCCAGCCTCCCAGGGCTTCTGAAAACCCAATTACAAAAAAGGGTCACACTCCAAATTGCATTATATGAGCTGAGTACAATGGCACATGCCTGTAGCCCTAGCACTCTGGGAGGCTGAGACAGGAAGATCATGAGCTGGTGAACCCAGGCTGGATAACTCAGCAACTTAGCAAGACCCTGTCTTAAAATAAAAATATAAAATAGGGTTGGGGGTTGTGGCTCAGTGTGAAGGCTAGGCTCAATCCCTAGTACTACAAAAAAAGATACGAGAGCTCTGGTTTCTGCCACATAAACATGAGAAGACAGCTGTGTGCAAGCAGGATTTCCCTCACCAAGCACCAGATGTGCAAGTGCTGAGTCCTCGGACCTTCTGGCCTCCAGGATTCCGAAGAATAAATTCTGGTTGTTAAATCATATCTTGTTTATAGGAATGTGTTGCAGTAGCCCAAACTAAGACACCAGGGACTGCCACATGCAGCCAGGGTTAAATACACTGGTATAGGCTGTGGAAGCAAATTTCTGAAACTCTTTGAATACTAAAAAATATACAAGGAAAGGCAATACTATGAAGGGTTTTTGGGCTTATTTTTTGAGAGAGTCTCACAATATTGCCCAGAAACTCCTGCCCAAGCCTCCTAATTTGGGACTACAGACACAGGCCACTGCTCCTGGCTCCAGTTTTAATGCTCATGCTGAGTCAGGCTATTATGGTAACTGAATTTGAGGGTATTTAATAACATTTTATTACAGATCAGTTCCCTAAGCAGCTCAGGTGCACGAGAACAGAAGCAGAATAGATCCCTCATTACTGAAGTACAAACCATGCATAAACACACGTTCAGATGCAACACGCAGAATGTGATGTGTAGCAAAACCATTTAAGAATATATTGTGAACGTACAAAACTGAGTATAAAACACTAAACTACCTTTGAAATCATCTATTCAAACCCTTCATTCCATGTAAAATAGCTGAGTTTACGTCACAGAGTTGTTTTAGTAACAATCAATCAGTTCAGCCCATTGTACTTTCCATTCCACAGTGATGGTGAATTAAACGTGTTCAGCAGTCACTCTGTCCACTCTGCTTCCTTAGGATCTCGGGGCCCCTAGGACAGGCAGACGCCAGGGTGCAGCCTCTGGTGCTTGTTGAGCGCGGAGCGGTACCGGAAGGCTTTCCCACAGCCAGCACAGCCAAAGGGCTTCTCCCCAGAGTGGACCCTCTGGTGCTGGACAAGGTACGCGCTCTGGCTGAAGGTCTTCCGGCACTCACTGCAGTTATACGGCTTCTCCCCACTGTGCGTGTTCTGGTGTTCTGCCAGGTGCGTGCTCCGGCTGAAGGCTCTGTCACACTCGCTGCACTTGTAGGGCTTCTCTCCAGTGTGGATCCGCTGATGCTGTGTCAGGTGGGAGCTCTGGCTGAATGTTTTGTCGCACTTACTGCACTGGTAGGGCTTTTCCTCTGTGTGGGTTTTCTGGTGCTGAGCAAGAGAAGAACAGTGCCGGAAGGCCTTCCCACACTCTGGACATGCGTAAGGCTTTGCTCCTGTGTGGATCCTCTTATGCTGCGTGAGGTGTATGTTCTGGTTGAAGGCCCTCCCGCACTCGGTGCACTTGTATGGCCTCTCCCCAGTATGGATCTTCCTGTGCTGAATAAGGGACGAGCCATAACTAAAGGTTTTCCCGCACTCGTGACACTGGTAGGGTTTCTCCCCAGTGTGGATCCTCTCATGCTTGGCGAGAGACGAACTCCGAATAAAGGCTTTCCCACACTCCTTACACTCATAGGCTTTTTCCTGGGTGTGGGTTTTCTGATGCTGATTCAGGTTGGAGAGATAACTGAAAGCCTTTCCACACTCGCTGCACTCAAAGGGTTTTTCTCGGGTGTGGATTCTCCTGTGCTGGGTGAGGGAGGAGCAATAGCTGAAGGCCTTTCCACATTCATTGCATTTGTAAGGTTTTTCTCCAGTATGAATTTTTAGATGCTGGGCAAGGGATGACCAGTAACTAAAAGATTTCCCACATTCCGCACAATCGTAAGGCTTCTCCCCAGTGTGTGTCTTTTGGTGCTGCGTGAGGTTCGAGTGCTGGCTGAAGGCTTTCCCACACTCACTGCACTCGTAGGGCTTCTCTCCCGTATGAATCATGTGGTGCCGGATGAATGTGGAGGGCCCATTGAAAGCCTTTCCACATTCATTGCATTTGTAGGTTTTCTCACCAGTATGAATTTTTTGGTGTTGGGTAAGGTGTGTGCTCCGGGTGAAGGTTTTATCACACTCGTCACATTTAAAAGGCTTTTCTCCTGTGTGGATTTTCTGATGTTCCATGAAGTGGCCTCTCTGGCTGAATGCCTTCCCACACTCATTGCAAGTGTATGGTTTCTCCCCAGTGTGGATTCTCTGGTGCTGAACAAGGTGGGTCCTCTGGCTAAAAGCTTTTCCACACTCGTCACACTTGTAGGGTTTTTCTCCAGTGTGGATTCTCTGATGCTGGGTAAGAGAGGGACCCTCAATGAAGCCCTTCCCACACTGGTCACATTTATATGGTTTGTCTCCAGTATGGATTCTTTGATGGTTTATAAGGTTTTCACTTCGACTGAAAGCCTTTTCACATTCATTACATTTGTAGGGTTTTTCTCCAGTGTGTGTTCGCTGATGGCGAATAAGAGCTGAACAATAGTTGAAAGCTTTACCACATTCACTGCACTTACAAGATTTCTCTTTTTTAACTGGAAGTGAATTCTGCTTGACGTTTGTTTTAGCAGAGGTCTGTTCTGGGGATGTTTCTTGCTGTGTTACAGTGCTTGAGTACACACCGCTTTTCTTGCATTCGGTATTCACAGGGCCTCTCTCCCATGTGGGTGCTGTCTTTTCTGTAACCTGCAGTTTTTTCTTTGGTAGCATGTGCTGCCTCCCTAGACTGCCTTCAGACACCCAGTCATCTAAGATGCTGGGAGTCCAAGGATCCTCCCTTCTGAGTTTTTCCTCTAGTGCCTCTGAAAGCTGTTCCCCTTCAGCAATGTCCACCTCTGGAAGTGAGGCACTATTTTCACATCTTGGCTCCCAGTCTGAAAGAAAATAAAATATAAATGTTCTCTGGGAAAGAAAAAAAAATTGATGTGGGAATGAGCTTATAAAACTGAAACTAAAGCCCACAGGAAATTCTGAGTGTTTCTAAATATACAGCTCTATGATATGGGAAGAGAGAATAAAGGATAACAATAAACAAACTGAAGGTGGAGAGAGAATGCTTACCTCAACTTCCTGAATAATCTCTATGAGCAAGTAAGGGAGCTACATTTAAGATGACAGTTATTAAAAAGGTAGCCCCAGAAGTGGGTACGAGTCAGAGCTGAGATTCCTTACTAATGAACAACAAACAAAAATCCAAGAGCCATGCTTTATATGCAACAGGAGAGCCTCGGCTGAGACCCAGGGCATCAGTGGGAACACTGAGGTAAAGCTGCATCACAGCTGGAACAGGTCCCATAAAGAGCAGATGGAGTGACTGAAGGGGAGAGATGGCCAGGTGAAGTCCAGCCTTCTGAAGACAATCGGGAAGAAATGGAGCTCGAGACCATAGCAGCATTTGTGAGAGCGGGGAAGACACTCATGTTGTACAACAACCAGTGTGTTCAAGTGTAGACAGGAAATACCAGCTCAAAAGAGGAAAGAAAGGAATACTGGAAGCCACAGACATATAGATGAGAGAAGAACAGTGGGAAAAAGACCCTTAAGGGATAGAAAGAAAGCTGCTCACCCCTAGACACACAAGAGAAGAAACAGGGCCAGGAATTTAGCTCAGTGGTTCTGCCAGCCTCGCAAGCACAAGGACCTGAGTTCAAACCCTGGTACCAAAAAACAAAACAAAACAAAACAAAAAAAACAGAAGGACAAGAAAGCAATTGAGCCACCCACGACAAGAATGCCAAAGCTAGAAGCAGTGGGAATTCAAGGATGGCACACGACATGTTTAGAACAGCCTTTCTTCCAAGCTGGTAGGGGAGGATCCTAGTGACTGGGGAACCCATGTCTCTCCACACTCAGAGCTGTTACAGTAAGCACCACCATCGCTGCAGGCGTGAGACTGCAGCAGCCCCACAGCAACAGATTCTCCAGCAAGGGCAAGATCAATGCAACACTAGATTCAGGAATGGCCAGTTCTTCAAGGTGGGACTATGTTTTCATCACTGAAATGACAATCAGGGAGGTCTGTGTGTGCACAACAGAGAACTGGAAGAAATTCCCAGAAGCACTTCAGGATGCAGGATGTGGGGACTGTGGAGTCTGATGGCAAGTAGGGCGGTTACCATGACAGCCAGGTGAGACGTCAACAAAGATGAGGCTGTGATGGACGAGGCCAGGGCACAGGCACTGCTGTGGACTCCACTGCCTGTAGAGATGTCCACGAAACTGCATGGCACTTTATAAAGACAACAGCAGCCAACCCATCAGCTAAGACTCAACCTGTTCCCTATGATAAAGGAGGCAGGACTATGGGCTGACTTCCCAACACAACCATCATCGGGTCAACTCCAATAAGAAAAAGCAAACAAAAGAATGAAGTTAAATGCCTGGAGTTTACCTTCTGTCCACTGACCAGACAGCCGAACTAACGATCTCATCAATACATCATGAAGTGATAATCATTTTTGCCTAACTGAATCTCTGTTTGTCTATTTGGCAGTGACTAAAATGTTGGTTGGAAGGCCCGAGCTTTTTCAATGACATTTAAATGATTTAAAATTGTTTTCTCTCTGGTTAAGCTGGAACTTTCTGAAACTTTTTTTTTTTTTTTGATATCAGGGATCTAACACAGGACCTTGTACTTGTGAGGCAGGCAGCAGAACCACTGAGCAAAATCCCTAGCCCCCTGAAACATCACTTTTAATTTATAATAAAATTTGACAACTTGCTTTTCCAAAAAAAAAAGAATGGGAGAGAGTGGGAGGAGCAGGTGGAAAGGGAAGGGGAGGAGAGAATGAGAAGTGAGTTTCGTTACCATCTTTGAGCCCTAATGGGAATTCATAATGACTATTTTAAAAGGAAGAAAAAAATGTAAAAAAGTGTACTCCAACCTTGATCTTAGACAAAAGGCTGAGAAGTGATCAGAGTAAACTCCAGTAAGAAAACTACTCCAATTTTAGTTAACCCTGCAGGTCTCACATTTAAATGTGGCGTGTATTCCCCACGAATTATGCAGCCCAGCCTAGAGTGCCTGGATTATTCCTATTCCAGGGTCAGGTCACTGAAGAAGTTACTTGGTGCAACAATGGATACTGATGATTTAGAAGAAAGGTCCTTGTAAGTTGAAAGACAATGATGGTAAAGCAATAGAACCAGAAGTTACAGCTGAATTAAGAAAGGAATGGATAATAACAAAATGAAGACTGCTGGTGGGGGGCTCACTTTTGTCTAGTTTGGTTGAGAAAGAGCTTGGGCACGGGACTGGAGAGTTAACAGTGTTGAGGAAAAGTATTTGGAGGCACAGACAGCGTATTTCTGTTTGAGGGGAGCAGGGACGGAGCCTGCAGAACCTGAAGAGAAAACTGTAACAATTAAAAACCAAGTGGTAATTATGAGGCCAAGGTTCCGACGGAACACAGAGACAGAATACGCAAACTCAAACCTCTAGAAGGCTTCCTTCCCACTGCCACACAGCAGCTGCTGTGGAAGAAATGTGCAGCCCACACTTCCGACAGGAAGCCCCCTACTGGGGAGCAGCCGGAAGTCATGGCCCACATCCTCTGGCCCCACTACTCACTTCCGCAGGTGGCCACAGCAACTCCAGGCTCCACAGTCCATGGCTCTGTCCCTTGCTCCAACTGGGAAATCACGTCAGGTTTGGAAACCTGCAGTCCTGTTCAAGGAAGGAAAAACAAGGGCCACATCAGAACTCAGTGCCAGAGGACACGTGTGTGGGCCAACTGCCAGAAGACAGGGCACTATGATCTGGGGTCTTGCAAGGCTCAGGAAAAGTATGAGTTTGTTCTCCTGCCTATTAGAAAATGAGGAATTATTTCAAAATCTCCAAGTCTAAAAACTGGGTTTCTAAGGGCAAAACATGTCTAAGCAAAAGGAGAAGCCATGCCCTCCACACGCTGCCCTTAACTTGGGGAACCATCCTTACCTATGGAGACCAGATGTGTGTAGTTTTCCAGGGTCACGTCCCTGAACAAATCTCTCTGTCCAGGGTCCAGCTGCTTCCATTCTTCCTGGGTGAAGTCCACCACCACATCCTTAAAGGTCACGGATTCCTGAAACACCAAGCACATTTCCACTGCGCCTTGGGAGGGGGAAATCGGCAGTACTGACCAAAGTGAGGCGACATACACAAGCTAGACCTATAAAGTGATGTTGCTGTGTTCTCCTCTGTAACACATTATCAAAGCAGTACCTCACCCATAGTAGTGCTTCAATATTCTGAGGAGATTCACAAGGGAATGCTCCATGTAGAGAGTGGATTTAAGCTCCAGCACAAACTTCAGAACCGGCAACACAGGTAGGAGGGCAGCACCACTGCTGCTGTGTTCAGACATGCCATGCATTTACAGTGGAACTGCTTTCATCGGTGGAATTGTTTACCACCAGAATCTGCAAGAATAGCCAAGGGTGTTCTGAAGGAATGGAAAGGGCAAGGGGACTTTCACTGATAGATTTCAAAAAATACAGTGACTAAAGCAGAGGACCCTACCATGGAATAAAACTCAATAAAATAATGTAGGGGGTCAGATACAGACCCTGCTTCTGAGAGGTGACAGGGATTAAGCGACTTCAAAGTTAAGTAAGATACAATGGGCTCATCACGAAATTGTATCATAACAGCTGACTCTTGGCAAAAAAAAAAAAAAAAAAAA